ATACGGGATTATTAGGGAACTTTTTGGGAATTTTTTGGGGATTATTAGGGAACTTTTTGGGAATTTTTTGGGGATTATTAGGGAACTTTTTGGTATTTCAATTCTTACTAAAGAACTTCTTGGGGATTTTTGACTGTCACTCACGCAAACAGCGCGTTTGTAAATGTTTTTATCATAACGCAAAAGCATGGATTTTTCCTCTAAGTCATTTTTTCAGGTCGTACTGGTAAATTTATGTGCTTCAGTAATGATATTTCCTGGAATCATTTGAGGTTTTTGAGGATGTCCATGGCTGTGGGTACTCAGCTAGAAGTTGGTGACGTGTTGGACACCTTATAAATTTTGAAAATTTGCGTGTTCTCTCTCCTTGCCCTTGCCTCGTTGTCTTGTAGGCCATTCTCCACGTTCTTATTTCACACATGCTTTTGGGACTGGATCAGCCCCAAAATATGACAAATTCTGCTGCAGCAAATTTCAGAACGTTGGTGATTGTGAGCCGTTCGCACGACTGAACACATCTTCTGGACAAAAAGTCATTGCGCCCTGCGGTGCAGTTGCCAATTCTATGTTTAACGGTCGGTACATTCTTTTGTTCTAGAACATCGTTGTGTGCGAATTCTTTGTGGTTTGAGAATCTTTGATCGCCCTACATTTCCAGATACCTTTCAATTATATCGAAATGGAAGCACATCCGCGGTGCCCTGGACCTACAAAGGCGTTGTTTGGCCAGTGGACAAAAATAGGAGATACAAGAATCCCCCAGGAAATACCCTCAGGGAAGCTTTTGCAGTAAGTTTTGCTATCTGATATTGAAGCAGTTAACTGTAAAAAACAAAAATGTCATCAGAAAAAGCGGTAAACGCGAATTGCAATCAGATGGGGTATTAAGCTTTATAACCAGTAGTGGCTTGGACTAACAAAGGAAGTAAGATCCGTGCTAGCTTGGAAAGCGCTTGCTTTTTTCGCTAGCCAATGGACGTCAGGAATCAGCATATGGTATTTAAGGAAAAAAAAAAATTATTCCTTCGATCGATCTGCAAAGATTTGGCACTTGTGACTGCAGCCAGTGGTCAGAGATGTGTGACTTTAGACAGAGGAACCAGCGTAATCAGCGCCTCCTTGTCCGCATTTAGTATCTCACTCGCACTGACAACTTCGCAATTCAGGCGAACTTGACCTTACAGTACTGAAACTCCCGAGTGAAGCAACACGAAGTGTTGCCTCGTCTTTTCAAAGAAACTGCTTTGCTACCTCAACGGGTTAAGTTCTTTCACGCCTCCTAATCTCCTGATCTCTGTCGCATAATTACTAATCGCAGCATCTTCCGCCTAAAAAACATTCCTAATCCTACGTTGGATAATACTTCCGCACGTAGAGAGCAGTTACGCCAGGGACCTCCGATCCCGAGCTGCATATCTCCAGTTAGTGCTAATCGCCTGTTCGATGTATGTGCGTCGTTTCGGGGGGCACGCGGGCACTCGTTTTCTTTCTCAAAATTTGTTGTTGAAAAAATTGGTTTGCCGTTACAGGTGCATCCCCCTCTTCAGTTTCAAACGTCCCCGGCAAAAGCAGGACATTAGTAGTTTGCTACTGCAGGGTGGATAAAATTTCATCACGATCTATATTTTCGGTGATTTTTGTTTCATGATTAGCCACGATAAATTTTGTTATAGAAATTATATTGTTTAGAACACAGTGCAACCACCGAACTGGCAAAAGCCAGTGTATGAGCTCGATCCGAATGATACCGACAATAATGGATTTTTAAATACCGATTTTAT